TGTGCATATTTGAATAGGATAAAACGGACAGACGGAAGAAAAGATATACTTTATAGGATCGGAAACGTCTCTTTTAATGCGTTAAAAACTATTGACCAAAATGGTAATACCCTCTGTAAGGGCATAGAAATTTCTTTCAAGAATTTATTGAAATTAAAATTAGTTTAGGAAAATCGAATCCACTCTTTATATATTTATTCCACATTTTAAGTCTTTAGATAGATCTTTTATCCATTTGAAGTGTGCAGACTTTAAGGTTATATTTCTTGAGCACCCACCTACTTTGACCTATTAAATCAATAGCAGTGTGTGGCAGTTATCATATGCAAAATACATCCCATAGTTAACCAAAAGATTTGTGCAAACTTGGTAAAGGCGGCCAGAACCCGCAACTCAGTGTCATTGTGTTTATTATGAAAAGTTAGTGAGAGTTTTGCTTGGTTAGACGTGAAAACTTTCGGAGATAATTCAATAACAGAACGCATGCATTTGCTTTAATTTAATTCCGTTTCGAAACTTTCCAGGGCCACGATATTTTTCCTTTTTTTTTTTTTGAAGTTTTTCATTTGTGTGTTAATGCTACAAGATGACAGGAAATTTTAATAAACTTCGTCGTGTGTGTCGGGCATAGAAATGTGTGTGTCAAAAGAAACTTTCGGCTGAAAGGAGCGGGGGTATAAAAAATACAGAGATAAAATGGAGGGACCACACCAGTGAACGGGCGAAAAGTGAAAGATGATGAAGGCAATTTATTCGAACCCTTAAGCCTTTGATGGGAATGGAAATCCAGGGGTTTTGGGGTTCGGGGACCCTAGACAAGGCTCACATATGTGAGCCTGCCAAAGGCCTAATTGCTGTTGTTTGTCTGAGAGCCCAGCCTTCTTTTTCTTCTTGGCCTATTAATTTGCCTAAAAGTTGGCATTGGCCCACAGGGATGAAATTAGAGATAGAACGAATCGCTTTGTTTTTATGCATTTGCTACGTGATTTAATTAGTTGACGCTGTTTGGCAAATTACCCAAAGCCCGACTTTTGGGTAATTACCAGGGCATTATTAACATATTGCCATTGCCAATGGGGAAAAGGACTAAGGGACTTGGAATGACTAAAACGATAAACATCACCGATAAGCGGGCAGCATTTGTGTCTCTATTCGGCTTCTATTTGCCATGCAAATATTGGCACAAGACAAAGTAACCGATTCCAAAGCCAGACAATGCCAATTCCCCAAATAAATAAGGTAAGGCCAAGGCATCAGGAATCAGCATTCACCATTCACCATTCACCATTCGATTTTTAGCAAAGGACAAAGTGCCAAGTACAAAGTACACAGTACAAAGGACAAAGGGAGGCCCACAAAAGGACCAAGGACGATGGCATTTTACGGGCTCTTGGGGCAATCAGCACGCAGCCAAACGAGAGAGAAATCAAAGATTTGCCAATCGGAATTCCTCAGCAATTTGTGTCGACTTTTTATTTTAGCAATCTCTGCAGGGATGGCAACAGGCTAAGTCCCAAAAAGCAGGCTAAGTCGGCAAAAGCAACCACACGGCGTATACTTGATTTTTGGCTCTGCAATCCCTTTTTAGGGGTGCTATTAATATTATTACTTATTATTTATTTATATCATGTTTTAAATTTACATTTTTTAAGTCCAAATAACAAAGGGTTATTTTTCAAACGTTAAAAGAAACTCTAGAGTACACACACCTTTTTAAATAAGATACTTTTTTATAATTTATTATCAGAACTGGCTGACAAAAATGTATGCAAGTTTAATTAATTATTGAAAAAATATATATACAAATCATTTAATTAGTCATATACATTAAACATTATTTATTTATTAACAATTAAACCAAACATTTAACTTAGCAAGTACTTATATTTTGGAAACTGCTGTGTGTTTTAAAGTTATGTCCTCATTTATTCATACTTTTGTTTTATTATCTATAAGCCATTTACTAAGTTAAGTGATTTAAATATGTATATTTTTTTCAATAAATTATTTTTAAAGTTATTTTAAAGTCTCTTTTATCAGTTTATTTAACGAATGAGCTTTAAACATTTGTATTTGCTGATTACCACTCAAATCTGTTTCCCAATCCCCCTGCCTTAATTCTTGTTACGGCTTTTTTATACTTTTTTATACGATTTTTATTGGATTACTTTACGGCTTTGGTTGGCCAATTGTCAATTAAGCAATTTGCGCATTTTTATTTCACACTCACAGAATTTCCGCTTGAACTGGTTTATGGCACCGAAAAAAAAATACATTTAGATTTAAACAAATAAAAAGGGGCGTGGTTGATTAATTAAGGATGAATTTTCCGGAGGTTTGAAAGGTTTTTCGGTTTTCGTTTTTGGGAAAAACAATGGGCGCGCAGAGAGGAGTAGTTTCAAACGGGCAAAACGATGATCGCCGACGGACGAGATGCGCCAGGATTTAAAGGAGCAACGAGGACGAGCGACGCGATTTCCGCTCGCGCGTTTTCCGTGCGACTTCAGCGGTGCGACTTCAGCAGCTGGCGTTTTGGGCAGAACTGAGCGAAGACGCTGCGGAAAATCGGAAAATCGCACACGCACATGTCGCCTGGCCAGCACATTTTCCATTCGACATTTTCCGAATTATCGCAGCAGCCGCGCGCCGTCGAGCTTTCAAAACATCCGCATGAAAGCTGCCGCCGTTTGTGGCACCCAAGCTTTTCCCGTCACGTGGAAATGGAAAATCGGGCGGCAGTGGCAGGAAAAACGCGGAAAACGGCGAGCAAAACAAAATCGCCGAAAGCAAAATAAAACCGAAATTCAAGGAAAGCCTTAGGAATCATAAGAAAATTCCCAAAAAATAAATCATAATGATTTCAATTTTAAAACATTTTGTTTCTGCATTATTTATATCTCATAAGGCAAAAATATGGTATACTGTCCCCTAAAAAATTGTATTTATTTTCTTTGTTATTTTTTCTAATCATTTTAACTAATTTATTCTTTCCTTAATTATTTTTTAGTTAGAAATTAGTTAGAGATACAGTTCTTTAAATATTGTTTGTTCATTCATTTTGCTCCTTTTTGTACTTGGCGATTTTCTAAAGCTTTAAACAAACCAAGAACTTTTCTTTAAAAGTATAATGACAGAACGTGCCTAATGAGGATGGGTTTTTCTTGTAGTTACTTCTAAAGTTTTTGCCTTGCCGCACTTCTTTTTAAAGTTTTAACCAAGGCAGCAAAAGGCGATGAATTAGCGATGCGGACGAGGGACATTTAATATACAAAATTGTTTTTAAAACTTTGCAGAGTGCTGAAAGTAATGATTAACCAAGTATTCGTGTCAGCTTTTCTAAGCTCGACCAAAAAAAAATAAGTTGAAGAGGTCTATAAACCAAATTAGAGCCAAACAACTTCATAATTGTTCAACTGAGTTTGGTTTAGTTTGGTATGTTTTACAAGAAGTTGGATATATTTTCACTTAGTTAATTACTTTTTAATTTACAGAATAGTGCAAATTAGGCAATCATTGGGAATACGTGTAGTTAATTAAACCTTTAAGTTTTTCTATACCCTTGGGATCTTATAAACTCGATTACTGCCCATTTTCTCAGCGCATACGTGTCCCCATTTGGTTGTTTTTTGGGACGGTGTCAGAGGAATGAATAATGTGCACCTGGGCAAAAAATGGGGGGGATGGCTAAAAGCTGGAAGATGGGATCTGCAACAGACCCCCGGGAGGACCAAGGGTTAACCAAAACCGTTGATCAACCGCCTCTGTTTTTTTGTTTGTTTGTTTGTCCTGACTTGGCGTCCATTTAGCATATTTCATGTTTCCTCGTCCTGCGTCCTGTGCCATGAAAAATCCTTTGTGGCAAGTGAATGGAATAACCAAGCAGCCGACTTCAGTTTGAATGAAAGTCATTGCCTACATAAAAACCGAAAAAAAAAATACGAAATGCTTAACGCTTGCTTAGCTTTGCCAAGTTTTTCTTTTCAGCTAATGTCTAATAAGCAATTTTCCTCTTCGTTTTTTTTTGGCCAATTGAAGTAAGTTTTTTACAAATAATGCTGGCCACGTTTTTATGGCCAAGTTACTGGGCGAAAACCCACAAAACCCACACGGGAAAAGTGAAAACTCAGCAACAGGCCCGCGGCCAAAAGTCAAAAGAAGTCTAGGGGGTCATAAATTTTGTTTCGCCAACAGCTTTTCAATGCCATTTTCGGAATGCAGTGGAAAAACCACACACAACGCTGTGCAACGCTGCGTATGCTTAACACTCCGCAGAGAAATGATTTATACGCTGCGGGGAGACAAAAAAAAGGGGGAAAGGTGCAAAAAGAATGGAGAAAACGGAAAGAGAAAGTGGAAAGTGGAAAATTCTGGTAGCGGGAAACTTGATGATTTGAATATGCGAAGCTTTTCCTGAGGAACCCAAGCTCTTAAAAGCTTGTGAGGTTCTTAAAGCTGAAAAGGAAATGCTTTGAAGCTGGCTTTAAGCTGGCATGTTGATAAAATTTTTTTAAGCTTTAAGGTTTGATTTCAAGGATAATAGCTTTAGGGCTTTTAGCGCAGCTTTTATGAACAGAAAGCTGGTTATGTTCCAACTATTTTTATAAACGTTACTTGGACGGACAAACGGACAAACGGACAGACGGACATAGCTAGATCGGATCGAATAGTGATCCTGATCAAGAATACGTATATATACCTTATGGGGTCTGAGACGCTTTCTTCTAATTGTTAAATACTTTTCTTCGAATACAATATACCCTTTTACTCTATGAGTTTTTATACCCGTTATAAAAATGGTATCAATAAGGTATGACATTCCTCATTCTGACCTTTATTCGCAATTTGGCAGCTATAACACTGATATTTAAACGCGGAATATATAAGATAAGATAAGATTTTACTAAAATCTTTAATATTTATCATTTTGTATTGAAAATTGTAAGTATATAAAAAAATATCATGGTAGCTGGGAGAACAGCTTCTCAATCAGAATCAGTATACGTATTAGTATTCAATTGACAAGTGTCGTGTAAGGAGCACAAAATTTTAGTTTTACAAAAAAAAAAAACAAAAAAAATATGGACGGAAAAAAGAGCGGAATGGCAACATGTAAACCAATTCACAAGTTCCAGAAAGAAGCGAATATTACAATCAATGGCTACCTCAACTTCCTAAACGATTACATAAAAAGATTTTGCGAAATTTCCCCACAGAACGTGATTTGTTTCGCAGCTAGAGAATGGAACAACTTGCCCCTCCAAGAAAAGGATCGCTTCAAAAACATGGTAAGTAAGAAATATCTTAGTTATGAAAAATAGTTAGTACTTATTAACATACAAAAAGCGATTTTGCGGAATTTCCCCACAGGACTTGATACGTTTTGGAGCTAGACTCTAACACACGTATGTTAATAATTGCTACATATTTTCCATAATTAAGATATTTTTCACCTGCCATATTCTTAAATTGTTCCTTTTCCTGAAGGGTGAACTTTTTCCATTCTCTAGCAACTAGAGAATGGAAAAAGTTGACTTTTCAGGTGAAGGAACAATTTAACAATATGGTAAGTGAGAAATATCTTAATTATGGAAAATATGTAGCAATTATTAACATAGCTAGCTGCTAGAGAATGGAACAAGTTGCCCCTCCAGGAAAAGGAACACTTCAAAAAGATGGTAAGTAAGAAATATCTTAATTATGAACAATATGTAGCAATTATTAACATACGTGTGTTAGAAGCAATCTCAAGTGTTTGGGAGTAAGTCCCATGGGGACAGCCCCGATAAATCTGAGCGGGAGAAACATAGTCCAGTTCGCTCTCCGTATTCCCGTGAGAGGGAGTCCAGGAAAAGAAAGGAAAGGAAGCCTTCCAAATCAGTCAAGAACCAGATCAAGAAAAAAGCCGGATCGCCTTTTTTTCTGCCAAAGAAACGCTGGCCAACTTCTTTGGCCAACGCAGGTGGTTGTATAACGTTTATGCGCAGGTTTAAAAGGATGAATAAGGACATGGCTCCCAATGATCTGTTGAAAAAGGCAACTCGAATTTGGCGCCGTCTACATAGAAGCCAGCGCAAGCCATTGGAGAACCCACTTTGGTAAAGTTATCTCAATTTAAAGCCTTACACAAGCAATATAATCTACCATTTCTTTCAGAATTTTGAGGACTGGATAGGAAACACTTTTAAGCTTTAGCCGTAATTCCAAGGAGCCCGGGAGTTCATACAATTTTAAAATAAAAAGAAAGCACAAAAATGAAGCGATTTAAATTAGTACTTTTTAGGGTTCCCGAGCACTAACTTAATATTTCATTTTGATCTTCATTTGCGTTATGGCAGCCAAAACCCTAATTATTTCTTGCGAAAATGGGATTCAAACTTTAGTCAAAAATGGTCCATATTTTTCGGTTTTTCAGTTGTAGTTTAGCCAAATAAAGGCGTACAGCTAAAAGAAGAACTGTTTTGAGCAGCTACAAATGCTATCGATCCCTATCACTTTAAGGAAAATTTATTTTTTGTCACATTTTTTCATTTTTTGTAAGGGGAACATCAGTTCTTTTTGGGATTCAGATTTTGGTCAAAAATACTCATTTTTTCGTGGTTTTTCAGTCGTAGTTTGGTCAAATCAAGGCGTACAGCTAAAAGACCGACTGTTTTGAGCAGCTTGCTACAAATGCTATCGGTCCCTATCACTTTAAGGAACATTTATTTTTTGACCCATTTTCGCAATTTTTTTTAAAGGGGTATTTTTCGGAATTCCGATTTTGGTCAAAAATACTAATTTTTTAGTGGTTTTTCAGTCGTAGTTTAGCCAAATTATGGCGTACAGCTAAAAGAACAACTGTTTTGAGCAGCTTGCTACAAATGCTATCGATCCCTATCACTTTAAGGAAAATTTATTTTTTGTCACATTTTTTCATTTTTTGTAAGGGGAACATCAGTTCTTTTTGGGATTCAGATTTTGGTCAAAAATACTCATTTTTTCGTGGTTTTTCAGTCGTAGTTTGGTCAAATCAAGGCGTACAGCTAAAAGACCGACTGTTTTGAGCAGCTTGCTACAAATGCTATCGGTCCCTATCACTTTAAGGAACATTTATTTTTTGACCCATTTTCGCAATTTTTTTTAAAGGGGTATTTTTCGGAATTCCGATTTTGGTCAAAAATACTAATTTTTTAGTGGTTTTTCAGTCGTAGTTTAGCCAAATTATGGCGTACAGCTAAAAGAACAACTGTTTTGAGCAGCTTGCTACAAATGCTATCGATCCCTATCACTTTAAGGAAAATTTATTTTTTGGCTCATTTTCGCGTTTTTTATAAGTTATTTTTGGGAATCAGATTTTGGTCAAAAAAACTCATTTTTTAATGGTTTTTCAGTCGTAGTTTAGCCAAATCAAGGCGTAGAGCTAAAAAACTGACTGTTTTGAGCAGCTTGCTACAAATGCTATCGATCCCCATCACTTTAAGAAACATTTATTTTTTAACCCAATTTCGCATTTTTTATAAGGGGGTACATCAGTATTTTTTGGAATTCCGATTTTGGTGATACTCATTTTTTGTGGTTGTTCAGTCGTAGTTTAGTCAAATCAAGGCGTACAGCTAAAAGACCGACTGTTTTGAGCAGCTTGCTACAAATGCTAACGATTCCTTACTTTAAAAAACATTTGTTTTTTGATCAATTTTCGCATATTTTGTAAAAGTACGTTTTTTTGAAAAAAAATATAAAAAAATCCAAGTTTTAAAGGCAATGGATTTGAAATTAAGCAACGAGCTCAACGAGGCACCGCATTCCTGATTCCGACCATTTGTTGCATTATAGCAGCCAAAACACTGACTTTTAAGGGTGGAAAAGTAAGTAGTAAGCAATTTCGATGTACTTTTTACGTTACTCGAAGAGTAAAAGAGTGTATCGGTTTCGGGGAAAAGTATTTAACAGGTGGAAGGAAGTATTTCCGAACCCATAAAGTATATATATTCTTGACGACCACAAATCAGAAAAAATGTTAACTAAAATGTATTGTTCTCGTTAATACCTATCGATTGATCAAAAAATAACGCCCACAAACGCCCATAACGCCTAAATCTGTATGTCGCCTAGATTTCCATATATTGAAATCGCTTGTAGGTGGCGCTTTTCAATCTTAAAGGCGTCGCTAAAAGTCAAAATGGTTATCATAAAGGATATTATTCCAATCTATAGAAGTGGACAAAACAAACCTCAGAAACTTTTGATTAGAAATGACATATACTTCATCCTCCCTACTTTTCATTGCTAATTGCCTCTGCCAGTTAGAGGGTTTGTCATTTCCCATTAAAGTTGAAATGTCACTGAACTAAAGCTCCCTCTGGCCAACTTTCCCCCCACTGATGTGCATTTTCCTGCTCTTGGAGTCTCCCCCGGAAAAAGAATCAACTCCCCAACGACGACTGCCATCAACTGCAGCAGTTTAATTGCAAATTGCAGGGAACTCGCCTGGTCGTGCAATTACAAAATGCTGGGTTGGGGTAGCGGAATTAAATCAAATCTCTGGGCGGACCGAGAGCTCATAACTGTGGGGCAAAACGGGTTAAGCTCACCTATACACATGAAGAACTTTCGGGCCGAAAAGGCGAAATATATATTGAAAACCAAAAAAATACATAGGTAATAAGTTATTGAAGGGTATCAGTCAGAAGTGTGCAATGCAGTGAAGGGAATATACAACGGACCCTATAAAGTATATATATTTCGGGATACAACTTTCCCAAAAGTTTTATTTATTGCACACGCATATTGCAAATCCTTAAGTAATATATTATATCATCGTTGTTTTTAAGCATTTAATTTTTGAATAATATTAACCCACTCTGGGACATATCACTTTTTTAGTATTTTACAGTTACCGTTTCTTTCTTAGTAAATAGGTAAATTTACGCATTCTTATAGATCATTATAATAAAAAGTAATGCTTTGTAAAAGATAAGAAACAAAATAATTCAGAAAGACAATGAAGACTGCTAATCCAAAATCATAGTACTATAAAATATGACATATACATTCACATATAAAAACAAATTTAAGACTTAAATAAACCTTAAGAACATCTTTACAAAACCAAAACTAAATTTAATTTTTTAATTAAAATTTATGCAATTTAAAAATAAGTTTTCCGCAAGGAATTCAAGCTATTTAAAACTGTTTCCTTCAGTGCATGGATGTTTTTCCATTTTGCTCGGGCATAGAGACATTTCAGGGGGAAGAGACTTTGGAAATGCATTTTCCATGAGCGGGACTCATCATCCACTGTCCACCGTCCACCGTCCCCCCGGAATATCCCATAACTATCGCAACATCCCAGCTGCAGCTGCACCCTCATCGTCTTCATCATCGGGCACTTGTCTGCCATTCTAGTGCCGCGTTTCTATTTCTATTTCCATCCTCGTCGGCATCCTCTCCATCCTTTGGAAACTTCCGCAACGCTGACGCACAGTGGGGTGTGATTATGCACTGGCAAAAAATACCACCTTTTTAAACAATTATTTTACGTTTGGATAAAAAAAATTCAAAGCTTCGGTATATCTTTAATTAAGATTAGATTAAGCTTCTATTTGGGTAGCAGTGCCGTAACTAAACAATAAAAAATCTGAAATATTTAAAAAAAAATCGATATATCTTAGCCATTGAAGTAAATTGGAAGTTCAATCCTTAATAGCACAGTACTTTTAAACATTTTAATTGCTTAAAGCTCTTGGAGGGGCATTACAAATTCATTGAATATTTTTTTTAACACCCTAGTTCAATTAAAGAATTTTTTTTATACTAAAATAGTGTATTTTTTCTTAGTGCATCAGCGGGTATTGAATGTTTTTCTGGGGGATGGTTAGCAACTTCCTTTCCGCTTGCGTAGGTGTTTCGCTCGTGGCCATCTTTTGGCCTCAGTTTGCCATTTTTCTTCATCTTTTGTGAGCGCTGATGAATTCGTTAGAAGCCACCCCCCTTAACGACCCCTCCTGCACCCCACCCCTGCCAGGTGGCCCGCCCATGGTCGCACCTTTGGGGCAATCGTGCCCAGGTTGTAAACAACAGGCGGGGCAAAAGAATGGAAACAAAAACCGCAGTAAGTGAACATTTCAGAGTCGCATCCTTGACGTCAGCGGCAGCAGGAAAATGCGGGAAAATCAGGGAAAATCAGGGAAAAACAGGTGAACAGCATCAGGAGATGAAGCCGCCAGAAGCCGCAGGAATGCCAACAGATGACATGCCGGAAGAAAGCCACAAGAATGCAAAGACTTACCGGTAGAATCGTTATGGATATCCCACACAAACATTTAATATTCCAAGAATGAGAAATGCATAGTGTTAGGAAGTATCTTATAAATTACCAAACATCAACTTAGATTTGCTTTAAACGTCTCAGACTTCAGAACAAAAAAAAGAATATGGCCTGGATAAGAAAACTAAGTATTGTTTTCATCTATTTGCTGCACTTTCAATTGGCCGAATTGGTAATGCACATTGACGACGGCGATGGTCCTGAGCACTTGAACCCCAGATTATATCAGCAGAAGAGGCAGAGAAGTTGGGACCTGGAGGAGGACCAGGATCAAGATCAGGATCAATGGCAGATCGATACCTATATGGAGTCGCGTTCAGGCATCTGTTCCGCCGAGAATGCCCACGATGTGAGATACGAAAAGAACAATCGATGCAAGGCTCCCAAGAAAGTGGTCAAGGATGAGGACGATGATGATGAGGATGCCGATCCGGCGGCCAATAGCGATGACGATGACGAGGATGATGACGAGGAGGATGGCGATGATGAGAACGATGAGGTGGGCAATGAAATCACTATGGAGGACGAGGCCTTTGTGAAAAGGATCACCTGTCTCCTGGGATCCCTTCACAAGCACACCAAGGCAATGACCGATAATCTCAAGATCCTGCAATCGCGTTTGGGCCAAAAGAAGAACACATCCCCGGGTACCATGTGTAGGAAAAATAACTTTGGTACTATGCTCTCGGGGCATCCCAATGCGAAGTGGCTCAAGAAACCGGATTTTTACGGGGAACAAGAGCCGTGTGGTGAGGAGAAATGTGTTGCCCAGGAGAGTTTGGAACTCGAGGATAACCATCAACCAGAACATCCCTTCAGTGAGGATCAGCGTATCATCGTTCCACCACTTTTGCAATTAATCCATGGAGCTGCCTCGCTGCAATCCCATTTGAAGGGCCGCCAGGAGAACACTGTTTCAAGGCCAAGATACTGGATGCCCTCGAGGGAAGCTCCCGAAGATTTTCAAGCCCCATTAAACTCACTGCCTGAGGATAAAACTCTACTGCGGTACCAGGAATACGAGGCGAGACTAAGGAGTCTTATGGACAATCGCGATGCCATCGAGCGGAATGTGATGAAGATGATCAACCCGCGGCGTTAGAAAGCTTCTTGTTATATGGTTAAATGTTATAACCATTTTATTACGAGATTTGCTAATAAAATAAAATATTTAATAGTAAACAGTTGCATTTTGAATAATTCGTAGCAAATCAATGAAGATAAAAATGAATTATTAAATAATAAATAAAAAATGTGGAATAACTTAACTTAATAAAGTCGGGCATTTTTTTGTTAAACAAAAATATTACTTATAATATTAAATTATAATATAAAATATTACTAATATAAACCAATACATATTATTAATTTAAAATTTATATTTTAATACACTGAGCGCTCCATACAAAATGGTTCGAGCGTTCCTTCATATCTTTTCTTCTGAAAATAGATTTTTAGGAAGTGTTGGGAAGATTCTTAGTGTTATTAATGCATCTATGTTTTCTGCACTTAAGGAGCTTTGCCTCACATTTTAAACAAATTACAGTATCCTCTTTCACAAATAATTGAATAATACTATTCTTTGTATTATTTTCTAATTTGATCATCGTATTTAATCACAATAATCATACAATATTCAGATTAGAAAAGTGTTTGTAAATAAAATGGTATTTTCCAAAACTTTCAAATAGTTGACAAAGATTAGCGAACACTGGCTACGATTTTAAGGATGAGCAATCGTAAAAATTAGTAACCCCAGTAGGCCTACAGCTCTCCTGCCAACTGATTTGCTCTCCCTTGCTCATTCCGACTATAGTCATCGAACAAAAAACATCTCCAAAATGACTTCCATATATCTACTGGTTATCATATACGTGACCATGGTGATATTCGGCTACTGGGAGGCCGAAGGAAGACGCCCCTCGAAGAGGCTGAACTACTACAACTACGATGACGATTCGGACATCTTCGAGAGGCAGTCGGATACGGAGTACCAACTGCAGCCGAAGTCGCACGAGGAGGAGGATCCCATGGATGAGGCACTGGACACATCCGACCTGGAAATCGGGTTGGGCAATCGCTTTGGCCGGAAGAAGCACCGTTTGCAGCGCAAGCCGGCCAGGAAGTTTCCCAAATCCTGGTCCATGTTGGTCCACGAGGGTGAGGAGGAAATGAGGGAGGAGGATCCCTTCGATTCCGACTTTAAGATGCTCGACGAGGAGGACGAACAACATTAGGATGCCCAAGAGGCCACCCAAGTTCCACTATATACAATTCCAACCAAAACTAACCAGTTATTTGTTGCTTTTTGAGACTTCCTTATTTGGGATAATCATGTTCTAATCATCAATCACAAAAATACACCTCTACACCGCATGTTTTGTTTAAATATCTCTTGGTATAATCGTAGAGTAAAGGGGTAATCGTATTTATAGAATTATATATGTGAGCTATAATTATAAAAGTTCCTACGTTTCCAACATGTTTAACTTGGCTAACAAACTATAGGATAACTTAAAATGTTATAAAAAAATCAGAAATCCAGCTAAAGGTTTCTCATCCTTAGTCACAGCCGCTTAAAAAAAGAAAAAATTGAATATTTTAAAGCTTTTATTATTATAAAATCAAAATAAAATCCTATATTTAAGGCCTATTTGATTTATAGCTCTCTATCGCCTTTTAGAGTGTTATTACTTTTACTAACAAATTCAGGTAGGAGATCTGCCTTTTTAAGTCGTTTTCGATTATAAAATAGACATAGGTATCTTTGAAATACCTTAAAAAACCTCTGACAGCAATGAATTTTGTGAATTCTACTTCCTTTAAATTTAAAGCCAAAATGTGAGTCCATATTCGCATATGGGGAACATTCACTTTGTTGCTCAACTTTCTGCCACATCATCGAATCGAATCAACTTTGACTGATTTTCCTGTTGAGTCAGCTGGAAGTTTTCCCCTTTTTCCCCCGCCCCCACTTTTCCCCCTAGTCCTTTTGTGTCGACTAAATGTGTCGAATGGAACCGAATCGGAGCTGGGAAACTTTGGCGGAGGTGTCAAAGCCAGTCAATCATTCAGTGCAACCGGCTGCAGGCCACCCACTCCGCCCACCGATTCCTGGCTGAGTTCTGTCAAATTAGTGCAGCCTATTTCAGTTGTCATAGCTCCTTGCCACGCCCACTATTGTCAGGCCACCGCCCACCAAAATTGAGGGAGTGTGAGTGCGGAAAAGCTGGAAAATTGTGTCATTTTAGGGGGGCGAAAAATACTGAAAAATAATGTAAGTACCCTTGAATATACAGTACTAGCGAATTTTAAAATAATTAAAAATAACTAATAATATTTATTTTGATAGCATTTAATACTCATTAAATTAGAATACTAATTAATAAATAGTTTTTATAGTTATTTGCCTAACATAAAATGAAACATTTTATAAAATAAATATTATATTCCATATTCAATTGAAAACTGTATTGGCATTCCATTCTATCCCCACCGAACTTTTTTCCCGCTGACCATTTGTAAAGTGAAATTTCCAGACTTTCACCGAACTTGTCTCTGTGTGAGTGTGTGTGGGCCCTGCATGTGTGTGTGCGTGCGTGGGCTGGCATGTGTGTGAGCTTGTGGGTTTCCTTATTTGCCAACCGCTTGTCGCTCGACTTGCCCCAAAATGGCTCAAAGCAATTTTCAAATTGTTTTCACAATCACAACGAAATCGATTTGCAAATATACACAACAGGCCCTTGGAAATCCACAACAAGTGCCACGCCCATTTGGGGTTGGGGGTATTTTTTTGGCAGAACATGTCCTGCATTTGATGTCCTTGCTTTTCCTCTAAGATTCCTAGCTACAATTATGTCCAGTGCGTAGTTAAAATGTTTATGTGCTCAAGGATACGCAAGATTTGCTCCTCGGATTTCCGGCGATTTATTTCCGCTGATAAAGTGCGTTTCGAAGAGCGATTTACACAAACAAATCTCTTCTTTGTCCGCTCGGCAACCGATTGGTTTTATGGCCATGTCAATTGTTTTGTCGCCTTTTCCTTTGCCTATTTTTATGTGGGTCCCTTTTTATTTTAGGGGATCAGCATGGGTATAATAACTTATCGAGGGCTCAACGTTTGGCTGGCTAAGCATCTACAACTTGCCTGTCGGTTTTTATTAAATTTTTGCGCCCGCGACGTTTAATAAACGAGAAATAGCTGGCATACCAGCGCGCCACATGGCGTATACTTGATGTGTCAAGCGCGGGCGGGGAAAATGCGGGGAAAATGCGGGAAATGCGAGAAGCGAACCGCAGCTTAAATGCCAGTTTAAAGAGGGACGCAGGGCGGCCATGTCGGCCAAAACTGAATTATGAATGAACGAAAGGTGGAAAAATGCGGCAGCTGCGACAGAGAAACTGAGAGAAAAGGGGGATCAATTGGGATCAATTTTCTATTTCTAAAAAAAATCAAAACAATAGCCCCAAAAAAGTTAAAAAATATTGCGGAAATTGCATACCTTTTTATGCACATTTATATTTTAAGGTTATTTCAAAATATGTATATTTACAAAAATAAATATTAATGTGTGCTAAATAAATATATTAAGTAATTCAGAAATGTATAAAATGTTCATTAGATTAACATTATATTAAGAATCCCGTTTTGGGCATGAAAATTAAGATCCCTACTCAATAAATATTAAATTTCCTTAGAATTATTTCATAAAAAAGTCTTTTAATTAGTTTATTAAATAATACCATACTGAAAATGCCAAAAATACAATAAGTGAAATGAAATACCATTATAAAAAAATACCTTTTTATGCACATGTATATTTAATAATTCTTAAAAATGTGTATATTTATAAAAATATATAAAAATGTGGGCTAAATAAATATACTATATAATTCAGAAATATATAAAATGTACATTAGATTAACTTTATATTAATCAAATTTAAGTTCCTAATTTATCACTTGTACCTCTTCACAATTAGTTCATAAAAGGTATTTTGCAACACTTGTACCTCTTCACAATTAGTTCATAAAAGGTCTTTTGCAACATTATTTAATTTAAACTTTAACTTTTAGCTGTATAATAATACCAAAATTAAATAAATACCTTTTTATATGCATAGTATATATTTAACTTTATATCTTAATACCAAAAAATACCAAAAATATTATTTTTATTTATTTTTTACAGTGCAGCCACAGCATCCTTGCCTGCCTTGCACTTTGCACTTGTCTTGGCAAGGTCAGCGCGGGGGGTGGCGGTGGGTGGCGGTGGGTGCAGGTGCAGGATGGGCCGAGTGGGTTAAATCCGGGGGGTTGTTCTCGTTTGCAGCCGCTCTGAACTTGAACTTTGTCAGACCGAAAACAGATGCTCGCTGTCTGCTAAGTCGGCTTTAATTATGGCAGACAACACTTTGCACGCTCCTCGCAGGGAAATCGGGGGACTACAAAAAAAAGAGGGGGGGGGGGGCTAAAAAAATATTCACAGGTCTTCAGTTACCACCAAGCAATTAGAGGCGAGGCTACAAATTCTTCACACGCGCCGCACATAAATTCGCTGGCCAAGAAAGGGACACACGCAGAGCGAGTGAAAGTGAAAAAAACAATGGGGACAGGAGTCGGTGAAAGAGATAGATAGAATGGTATGAAAGAGAGGGAGAGCAACCGAGATGGCGACAAGAATTCCGCGCATTCTGCCATATTTTCCGCTATTTATTTAAGGCCAAACTTTTCCCCTCCTTCAGCTTGAACAACAAGTGAAATATGATGCCCGCCTTCGCGCCTTACCTTTAGCCCTAAATTTATATAGATATATATAGGTATGGCTCGACATAATCATATTCATGACAATATAATGGCATCGTTAGAAGTCGCTCGCCTGGAAGTCCTAGGCAACCGCAGAAGTCGCTTTCATTTCTTCCCCATTTTAGCCAGCGGCTGTCCATTAGCCAAGTCAGCGGTTCCGCCGAAAGTCGGTCTATAAGGGGATGGTTCCGGTTTTTCCACGCTTTTCCAGGTGGAGGCATTTAGCTTCGAGGGGGATGGATGGCAAGTTCATAAATTCAGCGGACACGTCGAGACTGTAAAGTTTTCCGGTGCTTCCGCTGAAGTCTCTAAATAATTTTATTACCACCGCGTTGGAGTACTTAATAATTGTAAACAATAATGGCAGGATGAAAGAATGGGTCTTATTATGAATCAAATAATAAAAAACAGAAGGAAGTGTGCTTGATAATTTGATATAATGCTAATAAGATAAATGGCTTTGTTATGTTTGTGATGAAACCATTTTCTTGATTATTCTAAACCACAATAATGGTCTGTATTATTAAATTAGGGCTAAATTTATTCGCTTTGTTATTTGGAACCTATGCATAAATTAATTTACAAAAACCTTTTAGAGGAAATAATATTTAATTTCATTACTCTATTGCTTTTCATATTTTTCCATTAGAATAAGCTTAAAGTTTTCTTGTTTACACCCGCATTTTATTTTATATTTTTGATATATTAAATTAAAATATTTGGCATACTTACCGAATGCTGCTTGTTTTATTTATTTGTTATTTTCAAACATTATTTTTTGGCATTTCGTGTGGGTATTTTTGGTTAAAAATTTTTTTTGTGTTGACACATATACACATAAGTACATACATATATACATACATATATATATTTCGGGCGTGTGTGTGTGTGAGTGTTGTTGTGGGTGTGTGCGTGTTTTCGAGGGGGTGGCGGGGGGAGTAGAAGAGAAAAAAGAAAAAAATATATAAATTTTTTTCATATATGTATATTTATATAAATATTTATCAAATGATTGCACATTTAGCAGGATGAGATTTTTTTATATAATTTTTTTGTTTTTTTTTTTTTGGGGGAAATTTGGGGAACATGAGACTGTTTTGGGTGTGGATGCGTGTGCGTGTTTAGAGGGCATGCAGGAAGCTAGAAAGAGACAGACAAAGGTCTGAAAAATACACTAAGACAACAAACAGCAATGGGAAAATTCTAGGACTTACCTGGGTCAAAAGTCACCGGCAGGGAGATTCGAATAAAACGAAAAAGCATTTGACAGGCAATCAGGGGTTGCCGCTGGCAGCTGTTAAACGCCGACATCTATTGATTTTGACAATAAAATATGCGTTTCGAGAGCAAGGTATGCACCCCTTTTTTGAGTATCCCCCAAACGAAACCAGAGTGAAAGATATTCTCGACCGACTGAAGATTCTACACCCTTAAAGTTGAAACAAAGTGCTCTAATTTCTACAATGTCCTTCTAAAATCGATGATAAAAAACAGAGACAGAATATATATTTCTTGTAGAGCAAACTTCTGGTTAACAA